TAATTTGAAGTTAAAAATATGGTTGTGAATGTATAATTGTTTGCAGTAAACTGTGAATTTTATATATTAAGTTGTGAATTTTATGTATTGAACTGTGAATTGACTGTATTAAGATGTAAATTATTAATAAATTTATGTTAAATATGATTGATTTATGTATGAATGTTTGTATTAATTTTCATGTGAACATATTTAGTTTTCATGTTGTATAAATATGTAAGAATGTATTAGTTTTGTAACACCAGATTCCTGTTATGTCTTTAATTCAAGAATTTTATGTATTTTTCTCTGGGACTCGACGAGTTGGTGGCCCAACTCGTCGAGTAGAGACGGGATCCACAGGAAGTTTAAGTGACCTACTCGGCGAGTAGGTGTTGTTTTGGTGAAACCCTAAATTTGAGGGTTTGCACCCTATTTAAACGTCTTATTGCAGCCTCCATCGTCCCTTATGCTCCCAGAACACCTCATATCGAAACCCTAGCCGCTTTGAGTGATCTAAGGCCATTTTTGGTGCTTTTGGTTGGTTTGTGAAGCTTGAAAGGAAGGAAGAAGCTTGGGAATTCGAGTTGGGGCTTGTAGATCCAGAGATCTTATTCCATCTTCAGCTCAATCAAGGTAAATGCCTCCTGTTTTGGTCTTCCATTTGGTTGTTCATCTTTAGGGCTTAGATTTTGGGTGCATTTAGGGCTTTCTAAGCCATTTTCGGATTTGTGAAGTGATTCATGGGGTTCTACTTTCATATCTGAGTCATTTGAGGGGTCTCATGGCATAAATGTGCCAACTTTATGGCCATGATAGCCCCATGCACATTGTAGAGCACCTTTTATGGATTTTTGAGCCAAAAATCCCATGCATGTGCACCAAGTTTGGAACTTTACGTATAAAATGGACATTAGGAGGCCAGATCTATGGTTTTGACGTGTTAAGACCCATTTAAATCGTCTGTATAGTAAGGGTCAAGAAGGGACTCGACGAGTTGCTCTTGGAACTCGACGAGTCGGTGTGTAATGACCACTAAATCCTTTATGTGGTTGGACCAGTGGTTCAGGAAGGAAGTCCCGTAAATGTTTAGACTCGTAAAAGGACCTGGGAATCATGGGACTCGACGAGTGTATGAACAGACTCGGCGAGTCCAAGGCAATCTCCCAACCTTTGAAGATGGACTCGACGAGTTGTTCATACAACTCGGGTGAGTCATAGACTGGACACATTCTTATGAGGGAGATGAACTCGCTGAGTTGAAGGAAGAACTTGGCGAGTCAGATGAAGATGGTCCCGATGGTGTGAATGAAGGAGAACCTGACGAGTTCTCGCAAGACTTGACGAGTGGTGTCAGGGTTGGATCGGGTTAGTGGAGCATGGACTCGACGAGTTGGTAGACCAACTCACGAGTCCGGTCAACTGGGTGTTGACTTTGACCAATGTTGACTTTTCCTGGTTTTGGTATTGACCCTGGTTGGGTTGTATGTTAGGTTTGATGACTTGAAGGTTGTCGTGTAGGGATTGATGAGTCGAGGAGAGCCGACCTTCACGCCGAGGACAGTTTAGTCACTACACGACATCGAGGTGAGTTACCTTCCAGTAGCGGTGGGTCTACGGCCACAAAGCCGGCTCACCAGTAGGAGTTGTATGTTAGATGATTGTCTTTGTGATATTCATCTAGGTTTGCTACTACCTGATATGTTATATGCTGGCATGATATGTTATATGTGATAGTGGTAGTGGGGGGGGGGGAGGAGTAGTCCCCAAGTTCGGTCGTTAGGACCGAAGGGTAGGTCGGATACCCCAGATATGTCTGACAGTATGTTATGATATGCTCGCATGATATGTTATATGTTGTGATAATGGTAGCAGGGGGGAATAGTCCCCGATCCGGTCGCTAGGACCAATGGGTAGGTCGGACACCCTAGATATGTCTGACAACATGATTTATGATATGATATTATGTGTTAGTAGTAGGGGTGAAATAGTTCCCGTGTTCAGTTGAGATAGACCGGAGGGTAGGTCAACACCCCAGAATAGCTTGACATGGGTAGGTCAGCACCCCAGAATGGCTTGACATGGGTAGGTCAGCACCACAGAATGGCTCAATATGGGTAGGACGGGCGCCCCAGAATTGCCCGGTAGTATGTATGTTATGTGATTGTATGGTATATGGTATGATGGGGTAACTCACTAAGCTTTGTGCTTACAGTTTCAGTTTTGGTTTCTGGTACCTCTTCGTCCAAGGGGAAGGAGCCGGCGGTGTAGCAGCGCATCACACACACACATGGTTTCCGCATGGAGTTTTTTGGGAATGTACTCTGATTTGTTTTACTTTTGACAATATGATTTTCAGACACATTGTATGTTTCTTTTTACAAATGACATGGCATGGGAAATGTTTTTGGCAAACTATGTTGTGAATTATTTAATCAAAAATGAAATTTTTGGGCTCGAAATTTGGGATGTTACAAGTTTTTAAATTAATTTGATTAAACTCTAAATAAGTAATTTAATTGGTATATTAAATTGTGAATATAGTATTTAAGCTATCAATTAATGATTTTATATACAGATCTGAAAGGAATGATGGTGGTGAAGGTGGCACAGGTGGTTTGTGGTGGCGTTCGGTAGTTGGTGGTGGTAGTAGAGTTTGAGTTTAACTTTAAATATGTGAATTAGTATATAGTTGATTGTATTATGTTATGTTGTGAATTTTATATATTAAACTAAAAATGTACTGTATTAAGTTGTATATTTTATATAAACTTTGTGTTAAAATATGAATAAATGTATGCATGAAAATATTAAATTGTGTATTACTGAATTAATATGTTTATAAAACTGTGAATATGTCTCATACACGATATATTTTTGTAAAGAAATCTACAATTTAGAAAAAAGAGAAGATTGAGTTTATCAAGACATAAATCTATTTTTTTTAATTAAAATTTTGTATATTTGGCTGCAAAAATAAAATGGTATGTATTAAAAAGAATTACCAAAGAAATTAGAACTACAATATTTGTTTTATTAAGTAATGAATATAACCAAAAAATGCCATTAAATTTACTATTAGTCCAACAATGGTCCGACGGCGGTCCGACGGTGGTCCGACGGCTGTCCAACAATGAGTGACAATTAGTTGTAAATTAGGGAATATAAAGTTTGTTTAATATAATATTAATATTTGATTAGTCCAAAATGTTCTTAATGAAAACATTTTAAAAAAATAGTTCTTGGGGTTCTTAACTTTTTTGGGTTCTCATTTCAACCACTATATATATATATATATATCTATATATATATATATATATATATATATATATAGGGGTGAGATCCGTTGAGAACTCATAGTTTCCCGAGAACCTGAGAACTAAAGGTGGAGCGTTAGATCAAAATTAACTCATTAAGGGCACGATCGTCATCTTACCGATCTCATTTAATGTTTAATTTTTTTGTTATTGGAAATATTAATTAAAAGTTCTAAAAATTAACATAATAAATCAAATTTCAGATTTTTTTTTAACAATTTTCGATTTTTTTTAAAACATGGAGATTTTTTCATTTTCTATTTGAAAAAAATATTTTTTTAAAAAAATCTGTAATTAAAAAATTACTGCATTTTTTTTATAAAAAAACATTTTTTTTTTCATAAAAACTACAATTTTTCAATAAAAACTGTATTTTTTTTTCAAAAAAATGCATTTAAAAAAACTGCAATTTTTTTTATAAAACTGCATTTTTTTTAAAAAGTAAAATTTTAAAAATCAATAAATTATTAAAAAAAACTAGAATATTTAAATAAAAAAAACTCTAATTTTTTTTAACAAAAAAAATCAACGTTTTAGGTACATATATGCATATTTTTCAAGTACATATATGCATCTTTCTTATACTATAATATTAGTAAGTAATCATATAAAAAAATCCATTTTTATTTAATAATCTATAAAAACAATAATACAAGTATTTTATTCGATAGAAAATAAAATATATAAAAAAACAAAAAATACTACAAAATTTCAAAGCGTTTTCATGTCTTCGTATCAAGATTTTCATATTTTCTTTAATTTATCATTTTTCACATCTTCAATATTCTCCTCAAATTCTTCTAAATCTACAAGAAAAAAATTGATTAATGCAAGAAAACTCACAAAAATACATGTGTGCATATAGACGTAATTCATATGCGATTCACTTGTGATTTATATGTGACTCACATGTAATTCATATGAAATTTACATGTGATTCACTTGTGATTTACATGTAAATCAAATGTAATTCATATTTGAATCACATGTGATTTGTATGTAAATTACATGTGATTTACATGTGAATCACATGTAATTCATATGTGAATCACTTGTGATTTACTTGTGAATTACATGTGATTCACTTGTGATTTACATGTGAATCACATGTAATTCATATGTGATTCACTTGTGATATATTGCTAAAATGAAACAAATTAAAATAAACTATAAGGTTAGAAAAAATAAATAATTAAGATGATTTACATGTGAATTACATGTGATTCACAAATGATTCACATGTGTCACTTGTGATTCACATGTGAATCACAAGTGATTCACATGTGAATCACAAGTGATTCACATGTAAATCACAAGTGATTCATGAAGCTCAATATAGAAACAATTAGAATAAACTATATGGTTAGAAAAAATAAATAATTAAGATGATTTACATGTGAATTACATGTGATTCACATGTAAATCACAAATGATTCACATGTGTCACAAGTGATTCACATGTGAATCACAAGTGATTCACATGTAAATCACAATATCAGATAAATGGACCTTTTCTTCCCCATCTTTTGAACCCAAAAGCTGAATTCTGAATTTTAGCAACATTTGTAGATTCATGTTTGTTAGCAAAAAAGTAAAACAGATAAAAAAATCATACCTTCATTTCATTAGTACCAAAAGTATAATAGAAACACTTTGTTTCAATATCTTAGGCAAAAAAATTCAGGTTTCCCTTCGGTTTGAATTTTAGTCCTCACGCCAGCATTTACCATATTTCTTACAGGTGAAGTTTATTGTCATGGGTTCATCAGCCGACCTTGTTTGAAACTGGATGTATGCAGCCTTGTTGTGACCACAATCTGGGTTGCAAGAGACAAAGAACATCATAAATTAAAGTTGAAAAAAGAAAAAGTGCATCATTTTACTCAAATTGTGAAGCATATAAATACCTTGAGCTGTTTTTGGTGCATTCTTCATGTCATCTTGGGTGATGATAGGGTCAATCTCCTTTTTAACCAAACATTGCTTTCTTTTGATCTTGACCTATAAAAGGGAAGAAAAAAGATGCATTTAACTACAAGGAAAAGGAAAAACAATGTGTTGCAATATTGCATGATTGAGTATGATAAATTGATAATTTTATTACCTTCTGCTCTATTTGGCTAACATATGGACATGTGGGGCAGAAAAATCTGGCAGGAAGATGCAAATTTGGCAACTCATACTTCAACAACATCCCATAAGTCGGGAAAAATTCCATATCTACAACCCTTTGTAGCTAATGCTCTGAAAAATACACAGGATATAGTTCTTAGATGTGTGTGTGTTCTACCAGAATGATTTTATTCTAGATATGAATGAACTAGCTAAGATTTTGATTGAGTGGCAATTCATCAAACAAACCGTAAAACATCAACATAATGACATATTTCATATCCATGATCTTTAGCTAGATCATCCTCCACTACAGTAGGATCTAAAGGAAGATTCAATCCAATAATGTTAATTTTTCTCGAATCCTCCCCCATTGAGTTTTCATATCATTCAGACGATTTTCAGCTTGCATTTTTTTTCTCCCTCTCATACGAAAATCCTGATCCCATCTCACGTAATTCCCCCTCAATGTCAGTTGCCTTATGTTGGATTCCGGTTTCTGTTGCCAGTTTTGTTAATGGAATCTGTCACACCCCAAAACCGGAACGGCGGAATCGTTCGGGGGTGGAGGACGTCATGTTCAGCATCACAACAATGTATAATAATAAACAAGCAACAACATCATCTATTGCATTAATAATATAATTTCATACAAGTGTGTTCTGTAAAGTTATAAGACACCAAAAATGTAAATCAAAATATGAGATGAGTCTTGAATGTGTTCCATCTTCTCAAAAGTCTGACATCGGTACCTGTCTACTGACGACCTGAGAATATAAGTTACTTTGAAAGAGTTTATCAGCTTTAAAGCTGGTGAGATCATAAGTGTTTTAGTGTCATGGTTTGTATGAAAGTGTTTGTAAGTAATTGATTTGTAAGTTTGTAAATATTTGTATCTCCTAGAAAACCCTATGTTTTTCTACTAAAAGTAGCCTTCTACCAAGGCATCAAGTGTTGTGTGTATGTCTCTTGTAAGAGTATGTATTTTCCTAAATCTGACTATCATTAACCAAAAATATAGTTTTTACATTGCTGTTAATTGTGTGAAGATCACAAAGTGAATGTAATGGGGAAATAAAATAGTACTGTAGTGTTGTATTAAGTAACTGCTGCTGTACTAACTACCTTAAACCAATTGTTATTTAAAGTACCATGTGATCTGCCTGTACCATACTACCGACTATAAACACGACGATGAAAGACGTCGGAAGAAATGACGTTTGGCACCCATAGACTTGCAAGTCCCACTGTAGCTAGCAGCAAGGTGTAGGATAGTCAATCCAGTATAGATCTATACACAAACTCAACGCTCTCCACTTAAGGAGATTCTGGATACAAAACGAGCCATGAAAGGTGATGCCATGCCCCCTTACGTGGCTCACATAACTGTTGTAACGTTCTTGTATATGTACTGTGTACTAGCTGTATTGTATGTTCTCTCTCTGTCTAGTATACTCCGTTTGTTTCTCATAATAATAATATTCTCTCTTTATGATATTGTTTGTTTCTCATCACTATGTTTTATGTTTGTTTCTCATCACTATGTATTATGACTCATGAATGAACTGACTCATTGTATGTTACATTGTTCTAGTAATAGTACTTGTAACTTCCTAAACTATACCTATTATAGTTTACTAGTAATGTTGTTTGTACGAATGAACAAGTTTGTATACCTTTGCTACCCAAAGGTATTGAATTGTTTTGAAGGAACTTTTATATCTATATACATATACATAGTATATAATTAAGATTCAAACGACCTTCGGACAAATAACCGATACCCTAAGTCCACAACCAAACAAGGAACAGGAAGCAAGGCGAGCTATCAGTCCTAAGTCCTTTCAATCCTACTTATATAATTATATCTATATAGATACACATTTAACAAAGTATGAGTTTAAAAGAGGTAAAAGTATTTAACATGAAAAAGAGTTTGCAAAACAGTTTGAAGTAGTTTGTTTGATAACACAGCTTGAAAAGTAAGAAATCTACTTGTTTGGTAGTTATTAATCACATGTGATTGATATAATAACTATAATAGTTCAACTTGTATTCCCCCCTATAAAAGCATTTAAAATCATTTAAAATGTCGATTAAGGGGTATGAACTCACCTGTAGTGAGTGGTTTGGATGAACGGATGGTATAGGATGCTAAGTGTCAAGTGAAGACTTGAGCACACACATGGATCCTATTTAACATATAATGACACATATATGTAACCAATTAGTCTTTATACAACTAATTTACCAAGTTAAGACACCTTAGGACATGGAAAACACTTTGTTTCAAGTGCTAGAAGTACTAAAGGGTTGCATCTAAAGAGAGTATGACCTCACATTGGAGTTTACTCCCCAAATGGTAACCACACATGAGTTTACGGCCCATGGTCATTTCTCCCATGAGTTTACGGCCGTAAAATCATGGTAATTTGTACCATTGTGTGATTTAAGGTCTTATATCCCACTAGGAAGTAATCTAAAAATGTATCCAAGGCTTAGGAAGGGACTAGGGCTCAAAATGGCCCTTCATTGGAGTTTACGGTTCTTGGACCACTCCCTTGGAGTTTACGGTCGTAAACCCATAAGTTTACGGCCGTAAACTCATGGTAAGTTCTACCATCTCATGGTTTGGGGTCTTTAGCTCATGCATGCAAGGTTCTAGTCCAATATCCAAGCCCTAGAAGGTATTGGTGGCACTTAAACACCACTTGATGGTGTTTACGGTTCAAGGAGATGCCTTGACCATAAACCCAAGTGTTCTTGGGGGTTTTGATGTTTTTCAATGGATTAACAAGTATTCTAAGTAAGTAACTAGTTGGGAGGAGTGTACTTACTTATAGGAAGCTTGTAAAAGTGTTTAAAGTCCAAGAACACTAGTGTGTGTTCTTGGTGTTCTTGGTGAAATGAAGAACACTTGAAGATCTACACAAATGGAACGATTTCATTGATGAAATCATGTAAGATCACTAGATTAAGGTAGATATCAACTAAACAAGGAAGAAAACACTTACTTTCTTGAAGATTTTTGAAGAACTTTGGATGATACTTGAGAGAGAATTGGTTCTAGTCTTGAAAATGGTAAAAAAATGAGTAAAATGACTAAGTGTCACATATATACTTCCTAGGATTTACGGCCGTAAACACCATGTTTAGGCTGTAAACTCCAAACTCTTGGAGTTTTGAGACTTTATTGTTTCACAATAAACCCTAATGTATCCTCTCTCCATTTATCTCTTGAAGTACTAAGCTTTAGAACACTCAAATTGACTCCAAAAAGCTTAAAAGTTAGCAGAAACAGTTTTGCTTCTATTGAAGTGAGTGGTTGTACATAATAGAAATTTCGGGTTGTCACATCATCCCCCCGTTAGAAGGAATTTCGTCCCGAAATTAGAGTTTAAGCAAATAAGTAGTTACAATTAACTAAGTAAAAAGACGAGGATATTTCAGTTTCATCTGATCCTCTCGCTCCCAAGTGAATTCAGGTCCTCGCTTGGCGTTCCAGCGAACGTTCACTATCGGGATACGGCTTTGCTTGGTTTGCTTGACCTCTCGGTTCATGATCTCTACAGGTTCTTCCACGAAGTTGAGGCTCTCGTTGATCTCGATCTCGTCGAGTGGGATTACAAGAGTCTCGTCGGACAGACACTTTTTCAGGTTCGAGACGTGGAAAGTAGAATGTACGTTACTGAGTTCGCATGGTAAGTTAAGTTTGTAAGCTACAGGGCCAATTCTGGCTAGAATTTCGAAAGGCCCTATATATCTTGGATTTAGCTTTCCATGCTTTCTGAAGCGTATCAAGCCTTTCCAGGGTGAGACCTTCAATAGAACACGGTCGCCCACCTGGAATTCCAATGGTTTCCTTCGTTTGTCTGCGTAGCTTTTTTGTCAGTCTCTAGAGGCTTTCAATCGTTCACGAATCTGAACGATCTTCTCTGTCGTTTCCCGTATGATCTCCGGACCAGTGAGAGTGCTGTCAGGAACTCGTCCTTTAGCTAACTGGGTGTCACCCACCTCAGCCCAGCACATAGGGGATCTGCACTTTCGGCCATAGAGGGCTTCAAATGGAGCAACGTTTATGCTCATGTGATAACTGTTGTTGTAGGAAAATTCGACAAGGGGTAAATGAGTATCCCAAGCCTTCCCAAAGTCGATCACACAGGCTCGCAACATATCCTCCAAGGTTTGGGTAGTCCTCTCACTTTGTCCGTCGGTCTGTGGATGGTAGGTTGTGCTCATGTCCAGCCTAGTGCCTAGGGAACTTTGTAGCGACTGCCGGAACCTCGAAGTGAATCTACTATCTCTGTCTGAGATAATGGATATGGGAACACTGTGCAGTCGTACAATCTCCCGAATGTAGGTTCTTGTAAGCTTCTCCATCTTGTCTGTTTCTTTGATAGGTAGGAAGTGCGTGGACTTGGTCAATCTGTCGACGATGACCCAAATGGTATTAAGTCCACCCGTTGTCTTGGGCAACTTGGTTATGAAGTCCATTGTGATCCGCTCCCACTTCCATTCAGGTATCTCCGGTTGCTGTAGAAGACCTGAGGGTTTCTGATATTCGACCTTGACCTTGGCGCAAGTAAGGCATTTACTGACGAAGGTAGCAATCTCTGCTTTCATGTTAGGCCACCAGTATAGCTTTTTAAGATCCAGATACATCTTATCTGAACCTGGGTGGACGGAATAACGAGTGTTATGTGCCTCTGTCATGATCAAGTCTCTGAAGCCACCGTGTTTCGGTGTCCAGATCCGATCCATGAGACATAAGGCCCTGCCACCCTTGACTTCCAAATTATTATCCATCCCTCGCAGGGATTCACTTGTCACATTTTCAGGTTTTAAAGCATCGAGCTGAGCTGCCTTGATTTGTGTGGATAAGTGTGAATGGATAGTCATAGTCAAATATTTGACTCTACGACCAGAGTATTCTTTCCGACTCAGGGCGTCAGGTACTACGTTGGCCTTGCCGGGATGATAGCGAATTTCGCATTCGTAATCACTGAGTAGCTCGACCCACCGTCGTTGTCTCATGTTAAGCTCCTTCTGGTCGAATATATGTTGTAGGCTTTTGTGGTCTGTAAAGATAGTGCTTTTTGTACCATA